TTCCTGAACATGTAGATACCTTCTCTTTGTTTTTCAGTGGTCTGGTTTTGGCTGTAATCCATATTCAATATGAGAAGGGTGTTCTGTGGTGGTGTCTGTGAAGGATGGGATAGGGTATTAAATGGAAATTAAATAGATAATGTTAATCCATATTAATCCTGGCCGCCCCTTGAGATCTGCGGGAGAGGCCCTGCGTGAAAGAAATTAGGAGGGTAGGTACTCGGAGGAGGCCTTTCTCTGCGGTTGTTGCCCCAGAGAGGTCCGCCTGGCGCCGTCGTTATTTGTTTTTCGGCGCCAGGCGAAGACCTTTTTATTTAAGTGTCATTTTAATTGTTAACAGTATTTGCTTATTTATCTGGCCAGGGCGACTTCTTTTATATTGTTATTTCTTTTATATTGTTTATTTTTATATTGTTATTTTTGTATTTTATCTTATGTTGTGAGCCGCCCTGAGGCAAATGGGGCAGCATAGAAATGTTTTAATAAATAAATAAATAAATAAATTTGGAAAGTAGATCTATAGGGCCACTGAAAAGTTTAGGTAGCTCTAGACATGCCTATTTGCACATTGGTTTCCTTCCTGTCAAGCAAATAAGTGGTTGCAATAGCGGATGAGGAACATTATAAGCTGGTGAACGAGTTGGTGGCGAGAAGGGAAGTCCTGCCAAGTGCCTCCAAAGACCCGCAGATGGCCTTGAAATATGCTGCAGAGAACGAGCGAGATCTGCTGGACCTTAACATGGTTTGCTTAGTGTGCCAACCTGCCTTGTTGCTTTCAAGCAAGCCAGGATTCCCAAGCCAAGATCCAACTCTTGTTTGCAATCCTGGCTTGTAAAAGCTTCAGCAAGGCAGGATCGCAGTCTTGGGCCACCACTGTGCAACCACTTCTGGTTTGTTTAGCCACTTACACTAGCGGGCACGTTCAAATAGGTGCAAGCAGACTGTGTGCGCTAGCATCCAGCTTGTTCACAGTAAAACAAGGATCTGCCAGAATCCTGGGCTACTGTTCTGCCACCAAAGCAGAACACGCCTGCCTTCCCTGGCATTTCCTTCTGCTTTGGGCTGAAGCCTTTTGGATGTAGCTGTTTAGGGACCCAAGGTGCCTCTCAGGGATTAAGAGAGTTCACCCACCCCATTCAATATTTGGTTTGTATATCTGTGCTTCCCCTCATTCCACTCTGCCTTCCATGCAATTTGACATGAAGAATTCCTAAAACAAATCTTGCAGCTGGAACACGTGCAAATTGTTGCAGTGTGCAGTCCTTTCGGTTGAATTGAATCAAGGCTGTTTTGATTTTGAATGTGATCCTGGACTTCTTCTGATTTGGATATTAGGGATAAGCTAGGACCAAAGCAGGTACATCATCTTTTTTTTTTTCCATCATTTTTACTTTAAGGTGCAGAGGATGAGCCAGTTATCCAAAGCCTTCTCTCCCATCTGCTCGGGACCTGGTGGAGAGCGCCCATCCTATACCTATTCCCGAGTAAAAATGAAAAAAAAAAAAAAAGATGTAGTTGGCAAATATGGATTTAAAGTAATGTCAGCTTTGGCCTTTAAAGTTATTTAAAAATCATTCACTTCATGTGGATTTAATTGTTCTGATACCTTACATTTTATGGTTATTAGTAAAGGGTCATTTGCAGACACTACAAATGTCACAGCTCAGACTCATCCATATGAGACACAAAGTTCTCAAAACATACTGAGATGCTTTGAAGTGTTTTAGTGCTGTCCCTTTCCTAAGGGGAAAAAATCATTTATTGAGATACTTTAATATTTGTTTGTTTCTGAGGGGTGTTGCTTTCCTTTCCTTTCCTTTTTTTGAGTGGGCAGGATCAGCATTCTTATAGCTTGTCAAATCTGTTGGCAGACAGTTGTGTGCAGTACTGTTTGGCCAGTTGCTTAGGGACCAGCCTAAACACCATCTTGGTTGTGTTAACTTCAATTTTGTGGTTTTCTAGTGTAGGAAGAGAAGGTCTCGTTTGCTAACAAGCAAGTATGGCTTGCAGCGGGAGGAGAAAACCTTGCATGTGTGAGCTCTTTGGTGTGTTCTTCAAAAGGTTTTCACATTCCCAGAGTGAATGTTGACAGTTGATATTTATACTTTTGTTTTGCAACCAAAGAGTGAAGTTGAAAGCTGAAGCAACATGAAGTTCTTTGTTTATAATTCCACCAGGTTTCATGCAATATTGAAAGAGACAACTGGGGCTTCCACACAGACTTGTCTGATTGCTATCAATCAAAAGGCATTACAATGCTCTTCTGACTTGCCTCCCAACTGATTTCTATGTATGTTAAAAAAAGGAAAGACAAAAGAAGAAACTGGGAAACATGGGAAGTTACCAATGGAAGATGAATATGGACACCCCAGGAAAATTCCATGTTTGGGGCAGAGTTTTTGCCCAATAGAAGCCTTGTCTGAAAGCATCAGTAAAAGTGTTTATGATTTCAGCCTAAATTTATGTTTATATGTATCTCTGAAATTCTGAATTTTCCTTGCAACAACCTATGTCTTATGCTGGATCGATAAAAGCCATCTTTTTTTGAAGTGCTTTTCGACATTATAAACCAAAACACAATGGCAACCGCTTATGCAAGCAGCAAACTACAACGGCAGGGCAAGGTTCGGTTGTTCCTGTCCACTTTGCTAGTTCTGTGTAGGAAGAGATACTGCTCACGCCCTCCCTGAAATGAACCATGCAGCCGCAGTTGTTGCATGTACCAACCTGGGCTCTTGCTCGATGAAGAACAGGGCATGGAACTGAACAGCCTTTCGGCACATGAAAGCCCTGTGTAGGCACACCCCTGACTTCAAGTATCAGTTGGGTATATGGGAAGTTCCTTTTTTTTTAAAGGAAAAGCTCCCAACTTTAGTATTTGGATCTGGGGGGAAAGGAGAGGAAGCAAACTACCTGAAGGAGCGCTTACATCCTTATATGCCCAGCCGCCCCCTGAGATCGGCGGGAGAGGCCCTTCTCCGGGAGCCCTCCATGGAAGAAGTTAGGAGGGTGGTTACTCGGAGGAGGGCTTTCTCTGCGGTGGCGCCTAAGTTATGGAATGCGCTCCCCAGAGAGGTCCGCCTGGCGCCGTCGTTATTTGTTTTTCGGCGCCAGGCGAAGACCTTTTTATTTAAGCAGTATTTTAAATGTTAATATTATTGAATTTTATTTGGCCAGGGCGGCTTGTTTTATAGTGTATGTTTTATATTATATATTTGTATTTTATTGTATGTATTTTAAAATGTTATTTTATTTTTTTGTTGTAAGCCGCCCCGAGGCTTCGGCGAATGGGGCGGCATAAAAATGTTTTAATAAATAAATAAATAAATAAAAAACTAGTCGGTAGAGTAATATAGTATCCATGCCAGGTCCCAGCCTGAACATTTAAGGAGCTGTCCTTGGTACTGAACCTAACCCCAGTATAGGTCCCAAATTGCAGGCAGCTGCTATAAAGTTCAAATTTAAGCATGGAGTGCATAGGCCTCCGCTTTGACCTTGAGCTCCTGGTCACTGCTGGAAGCCAGTTCTTATATACTCAAGATTCCCAAAATTCCAGATCTTAATTTCTCTCCCACCCCCCCCCTTCAGCATTTTGTAAACTCTTCTTCATATGGCTTTTCTTCTCATCCATTTCTTCCTTTATCATAATCTGCATGTCATGCGGTGCTTGTTACATGAACCTGAGAGTCAGCCTAGAATTGGGAGGAAGACCCCCATCCAAACTCTTGGACCAATTATTATCGTGTAATCAAACCTGTTGTTGTGAGACTAAAAGGGTGGCAGGAAAGACGGATGCATGTCGCTTTAGCTTCTGGAACAAAAGACAGGATATACTTGGAATACAGTTGGTGGACTGTATCCAGTGTTAGCCTCAAGTAATCCCCATTCATTTCTGTAGGACTATTCCAATATCAGCTACAACCCTATGTATCAATATCAAACTCCTTTGAATATCTGTTCTTATGTAGCTAAAGGACTTTAATCTGTGCAAAAAAGGGAAGAATCAGTAGCCCATGGGAACCTCCACAAATGTCCAGAAGAACTTTTATAAAAGTGCAAAAGTTTGCAAAATGTGTACAGAAAAAGAAACCCTGATATGTGGGAATGCTTCCCAGTCAGTGGAACGAGGACTGAACATGCTCAGTGGGCAGGGACTGCTGGCTCATCTTGGATAGTGGCAGAAATTGTTAGAGAAGGGGCAGCTGGAACAAGAATGGAATGGATTATCCTGGAAAGGTCCATCTGTCTGGAACCTTGAACACGCCACACTGGAACCCAAGCCAGGATGCACTTTGCCAGAGCTTGACAATTCAGGGCACCCAATCAAAGGCCGCAACTGCATTTTAGTGAAGAAAAAACTGGAACTAAATATTTCCCTGTATCTGAGCAGCAAGTGCCCTGATCTTGGGAGGGTTGCTAGAGCCAACAGGAGCTATTTTCTGGAGCACGGAGAATGTAGAGCCTCGAATGTAGACTCGAATTTGCAGCTTAACCCTGTGGGGTAGCTTGGGTTGAGAGTCGGTGCCTGGCCCAAATTCACCCAGTTGGCTCCATGCCCAAGCCACGATTAGAACCCAGATTACACGAGGCCCAGATCTGTGCTCTTAACCACTACACTGCAAAGGCTTTTCATATGTCTGTGGAGGGTGTGTGTGTTACAGATTTGTATTGGGATGCCCAGAAAGGATGCTCTGACCTTGTTCCACATTGTATCTTTCCATTCCAACTGCACTGTACATAACGCTACTCAAGTAAAAATGTATACATATCAAGTAAGAAGGGCACATGTGTAAGGGCATGTGTGTAAAATGTAAACAGTTTGTCACAGCTGGGCAATTCTTCTTGTAGAGTTGTACACATAGGGCAGCATTCTGCCACATCTTGATTAATTATTTTAAATCCGTGGATGACCTCATATCTCTTGTCAGAGCCCACGATTCTGAAGCTATTCTTTCTCTGCAGATTTCCCCTGGAATTGAATTATTTTCTTTTCCTTTCAGAAATTGGTCCTGTAACAGTTACCACAGATCCAAAGAAATTTCAGTATGAACTCAGGGAACTTTATGTTCAGGTGAGTGGGCTTCTTGCTTCATAAACTCTCCCTCTCTCTCCCTCTCCCTCTCCCTCTCCCTCTCTCTCATACTAAATGTGTTCTTGTTCAGTATGCTTGATGTGGCGGAGGGAGGACAAAAATATGACTCAGCCCCACCCTCCATCACACACACTTACGTTCTGAAGAAATAATGTTGATTCTACAATGTCTGTTTGCTATAGCACTCTCCAATTTGGGAGGCATTTTAGAACTGGCTTTAGCGGAGTCAATTTTTTAAAAAAAGATGGCTGCCACCGAACAAAGCCTGCAACTAGTTTTATGCCCTTTAGGGAGGTTTGGATGTGAGCAGACTGGCCCAAGACTTTTTGCTGCCTGTTGGGAAGGACAAGATTACATTATTCCCTTTCATGGAGAGATGCTGATTGCATGATCAACTCGAAGGGGGATTATTGGATAGCATCAAGACCATCAGACTACCTTAGGAGGAGCGGGTCTGGTTATGGGGTCCCCATGACTCAGTTCTGAAGGAACAGTCAGCTGGGGTGGGTGATGGTGGAGGGTTCTCAAGACATTGGAACCACCAACTTTGCCTGATTGTAGGTTGTTGTTGAATCATAGGTTGCCATCATGTGTGAACTCTGTACTATGATTTTACTGTGGCTTGTTAGCCAAGAATAATATAACAACAAGCCAAGTTTTTTCTTTCTGTTTGTTGTTGGCGAGGTGAACAACCCACGGTTAAACCACAGTGCAGGGTTTGCATGTAGTTACAGCCCATTATTTAATGACAAACTATGATTCAATGGCAATTCATACTTAACCCATTCTCAGCCTGTTCACTCAGTTGCAGGTAAGTGGAATAAACAAGCAGCAATTCATTCTAAAATCCTATCAATTAAACACAGTCTTACAGAAAGTTGCAAGAAACTTTTGTTGGAACAATAATCTGTGTGGTTCTGGAGGGAAGGCTCCATCCCCACCCACCACACCACAGTCACACAGCTGGAGGTATGGGAAATTGAGGTGGAAAAGGGAACAAAGGGGAGACAGTTAATAACAGAACGTTGTACACAACAATGTATTTTCACTGCAAAGAGATGGATTTATGCTGCAGGGAAGGGGGAAAAACATGCTTTTCATTAGTTCAATAAAGAGAAGAAAAATAATGTAATCATGTAATATTTTGGGAATGCTAAGGCAATGGAACAATTTTCAAAATGCGGTTTCTGAATAGTCTTTATTGCTGAAGTTGTGGTGATCAGATTCGACAGACCTGTTGATGAAGGTCGTTTAGGGATAATGCATGACTCCATGTGCCTGCCAAGAAAAGCTTGTAATATCATGGCAGAATATCATGGCTTTGAGCAGTACAGCCCCCTTGTTAAAGAAAAAGAGCAAGAAATACAAAAGCCAGGTGAATGCATACACAACGGGCATGCCAATAGGACAGGCGTAGATTGATTTAGAGCATCCTTCCTTACGTGGCACCCTTCGGGCATCTTGTACTACAAATCCCATCATCCCAAGACAGAAGATCAAATGGCAGTACTTTCTGGGGATAATGGGCTTTGTAGGGCAACCCAGCTGGTTTGGAGCCTGTTTTAAAGTGTGGTGGCATTTAAAGTAGGATGCCCGGGTGTTCTGGTCCTACTACAGAACCCAGGATTCCTAGCGTGAATATTGTGATACCTTAAAACAGGCTGTAAAACAGCATTTTCCAACCTGATGCCTTCTTTTGATCGTATATTAGGAGTAGTAGAGTGAACAGAAAGAGGGCTTAGCGAAAGGAGTGTTCTCAGAAATGGAATCTGACATGGTGTACAACAGCAAAAGTCAAGGCACTGTAGTAATTTTTCAAAATTTTACTTACATGAGCTATACTGATTCGTCCCTAAAGGCATTAGAACATTGCCAATTCGCATGAATCCAAAGGTGTTTCCTTCTACAGTGATTTTTCCCACTTGCTTTCTGGATGATAGACCTTCTCTGTTTGGCCATCTGTTCTAAAGTCAGAAGTTACATTTCGGAGAAACTTCCAAACAGATTAATGTTTTAAGAACAGATAGAGCACACTTAGGTAACTGGTAGATTTGGTCAGTTTCTTTCTTGCTTTTCCGGCAATTGATCCTCAAGTCCCTTTGCGATAATATTTGGAACAATTACAACCAAGAAACAAAAGCAACCAGAAAAGAGAATGCAGGGGGAACAATTAAAATACTTTTGCATGATATCCAGCCAAAGGTTTAGGAGAACAAAATAATTTTATTTCAAATTGAACACAATAAAGTAGGCACCTGGCTAGCATGTTTGGAAGCCATGCCACACATGGTCTTTCACCAGGCCCACGTAGCCACCCAATTTAATTTGGGAAGGGGCCATTCCCAAAGCAGGACCTCAACTGAAGACTGAAACAAATACACAGCCATAATTTATGCACACCCAATCTACAGAGAACAGGGATTTGTAATATATAGTCTTAAAGTGCATTATAATTTCCATTTTAACCATGACTGAAAAAATACAGAAAACATATGCAAATCTGCTCCCAGGAATTGTGGCTTGAATCCTGAGAAAAGTTAATAAAGATGTTCACGGAAGGAAAATTTCACATCCTTTGTTTCGCAGACAGCCATGCATGTCCCTTGAAAATCTTCCCCACAAGCTTGTGGGCCTCCTGAACAATTTGGGATGGGGTGCAGGAAGGCTGCTAGGGGATGGGGGAATCATTTAGAGGGGAAAAGATCAGGTTGGAATCCATTCATCGGACATATTTCCCACACTCATCAGGAAGCAAGCTGAGCCGAGATGAAGCCCGCGAATGCTTAGGAACAGATTCTTTGTGCAAAGTATGCGAATTACACAATTCTTTGTGTAAAGTACACGCAACCTGCTAGTCATGTGTGAGGGTGCAGAACTGACAGCTGCCTTCCTGACAGATGCCCATGCAGGTGCTTGGAGAGAAGCAGATTTCGGGAAGAGAGAAACTGTACAACTCACTTTCTGGGGAGCTGAGCTGAGGAAATACAACTGTTTCCCACTCCCAAACCAGATTCCTCACACATCCCCAGCATCACTCAAAGTCAACCAGATCTCCGCCTGGTTTCAGCTGCTTCTCCCACCCCCAGCATCCCTCCATGTCTTACCCAAGGGTGCACCAGCTCTGCAAGGAGGCTTCTCCGTGGCTGCTGGGCGAATGTCAAAATGACCACAAGCTGTCTTAGGATCCAAGGCTGCGTAATGCAAAATATGCAATAAGCACATGAAGAGACATTAGTGTGTCCAGCAATTAGTGAGGCTGGGACCTAGCTGAGTGCGTTTCCTGAGACTGTGCTCAGGAGTTAGAACCCTCTTTGGACAAAAGTTGGGTGTTCTCCATTGACTTCTATGGTTGGCAGGAAGCATGGGACCTCTGTATTGGCCATGAATGGCATAGCAGTATACTGTCCCTAGGGTGTATCACCAAGATCTAGGTTTCTTCACAGTCCAGTATGAAGCTTCCCTCTGACTGCAGCTCAATCCCAAACCTTCAGCCAGCAAGTGACCTTAGAAACACCCTAAACTGAGGTTCACACATGCCTGAAGTCTGGATTCAGATATGGCCATCTGTGGTCACTGTTTGGCTGTGCTACTAGACACCATATGGGACTCATTTTTTCATGAAAAAGTTGAGTTTTCTCTTATGGCTTTCTATTCAAGGAGAAGCATTCCCCATACATTTCAGTCGCTGGCACTGAAATCATTTACCTGTAGGAGATATGAGGAATTCAGGATTTTGGAGTCTTCTATCACTTTAGCCCTGATTTTGGGTTTATTGGAAACCATGTCTAAATATAATGCTTTCCAGTGATGAACTGCCTTATCTGCCAATTATGAACAGGGAGGTGGTGACTGTCCAGAGATGAGCATTGGAGCCATCAAAATTGCCCTGGAAATTTCTCTTCCTGGTTCATTCATCTATGTGTTTACTGATGCACGGTCCAAGGACTACAAGTTGACCCATGAAGTCTTGCAGCTGATTCAGCAGAAGCAGTCCCAGGTAAGGAACTCCCTTCAAATTGTGTAGTGTGGTGCCCAATGGTGTCCATTCAGCAGATAAGACTGTAGGATTGATTGATAAGTCATCAGAGATAATAAGGAATTTCTCTTGCGTGCCATATGCTTCCCATTGGATGAGGCCTGTGGGCCAGAGGTTTCCCATCTTTGTCTTAGATGGAGCATTTACCATGGGGGTTTTCCCCACATATTTGGAGCCCTCTCTTGGTTTTCCTTATTCGGGGTTCCCACAGCAGCTTCCTGGACCAGGTTAGAACTCCACCCTCACAGAGCTGATCTAAATGTGTCCCCTCCCATTCCTTGCATGGGGAATGAACCTTTTACTGTGCATGGAAAGAGAAAAATATGGGATGCCCTGTCTCTTTCCACACCTCGGTTCAGTTGTGTCTTACCAGCAAGAGACAGGAGAGACCAGAACTTCCAATACTGGAGGCTACGTCGAGTATTTCGGCTTTCCCTCTCAGCCACATAGGAGGCTGTGTCCTGCCTGCGGCTTCTGATGTACAGACTTGGATGCCATGCTCACATAGCCCATCCAGCCCCTTCCATGCACAAGAGTCTTGCGAAGTTGCAGAAGAACAAACATTCCAGTGAAAAGTCTCTCCAGAAGAACCCAAAGAGCTCTGAGCATGCTCTGGGATGCAGAATACCTGCTATTTTGGAGTGGGAAAGAAGGCAACTGGGTCGGAAGGAGAATGGAACGGAGTAAGGAAAAGGATCCCGGTGTGGCTGGCTGAATGGAGCCCCCTGTGACAGCGCTGCAGAGTGCCACAGGTTTTGCAGATCGCACGTGCCATCAGCAATATTTCCCAGTGGCGGTCTCTGCGCTTGTTGCTCCAACGGGCTGCATGCCTTGCACGGCGCCCTTCCACACATGTCCACCAGCTGCTGCTGTTACTGACGAGGGCTCAGAGCCCCAGTGCTAGGGCTGCACAGGAAACAGGACTTCAAGTTTGGAGCTAGATAAGAGGGAAGCAGGAAAAAGAAAGTGTTTGTGTGGGGAGGTACCCATTTCCAGTTTTTTGACCTATTTAATTGGGATCTTTGGCTGTGCTAGCTGCATTTTTGCTTAAAAAGCAAACACACATTATGAGAGATGAAAACTTGTAATTATGTGCGGCCCTAATGAATGTGATGAATTAACATTGCCCATCATCTGAGTTCTTCTGAAAGATATTACACTAATTGCTTGAGACTGAAAATATTAAACAAAGTTCATTCCTTTAATGAGGTGATGAATATTTCCTGCAGATAATTGTTTTCTGATGCTTTGCTTCTCCCCCATTTTCCCCCTTTTGTTTAAATCTCTTGTTTTGTTTTTCACACCATCCAGGTTGTGTTTGTTCTAACAGGAGACTGCGATGACAGAACGCATATCGGTTACAAGGTCTATGAAGAAATTGCATCAACAAGTTCTGGCCAAGTTTTTCACTTGGACAAAAAACAAGTCAATGAGGTATGCTGGGAGAAGTTTAATTTTGATGGTGTTCCCATATTGATCTTTTATGGGAGAGGGAGATACTTATATTCCATGGGATCCTCAACTCACGGAGTTAGCAGGGGCCATTTAGGGGGTTGAGTTCATCTCCATGTTCCCTGCAGAAACCCAATGAACTCAGCCAGATGGTTTTCCAATCTTTGCATGAATCCCTCCATCAAGAAGAGGTTCTGCTGTCTGACCATTTCAACCTTTGGGAAGTTTTTCCTGATGTTCAACACAAATCTGCCTTCCTCTAACTTTAGCCCATTACTTCATGCCCTAGATTCTTGGATGGTGGAGACTAGGTTGTAAACCTTTCTGTGTGGCAACCCTTTAGGAACTTGTAATGTATTATCATAACCCCCTTAGTCTTCTCTTTCTGAGGTTAAATCTACCCAATCAATCTTTGTCACTCTCCTCTGAACTTGTTCCAATGGTTACGACTCTTTCTTAAAGTGTACAGTTTTTACATTTGTATCTCGACCTCAGGACAGTATCCTGGGAGCTGTTCATGCCATCCTTTTCCTGTTTCTAGCATGGGCTTTTTCTGGACTAGAGTCTGCTTCGTAAGATGGATCACTCATTGTCCTCTAGTTTTAAGATACAGAGATATATAGGCATAGAGACAGATGATGTGGGTGTAGATGGAGGGAGGGAAGGAGGCTGGAGGAGGAGAAAGAGAATAAGGAGGTCAAATGGCAATGATTGAAAAATGTACAGACTGATTGAGGCCTTTTGGATCATGTCATTTACCTTTTCTCTTTCTTTTTCCTGGACATACATTTCCCCCTTATTTCAGTCAAGAATATTTTTCCTTCTCTCCTTTTTTTTTCTTTTTTCAATAAAGCTTTTCAATGAAGCGAGTGTGGTGGATTTAGAAGATCTGGCTTCTAGTTCCCACCAGCCCATGAAGCTCATTGGGCGACTTTGGGCCAGGCACTGACGCTCAGCCTGACCCATCTTACAGGATTGTTGTGAGGATCCAATGGGGAGGAGGAGAAGGAGGAGGAATATCTAAGCTATTTTGGGTTCCTTGCAAGGGGGAAAATTTAATAGTAGTAACAACAAGAAGGCAGGATTCCCTGAAGAAGACAACCATGATAGGAAAAACTGAAGGCAGAAGAAGAAAAGGAGCACCAAATATGAGATGGGTGGATTCCATAAAAGAAGCCACAGCCAGGAATGTGCAACATCTAAGCAGGGCTGTCATGGAGAGTACGTACATTTTGGAGAGCTTCCATTCATAGAGATGCCCTAATTTGAAGATGGCATGATGGCATGTAACAACAACAACACATGAATTCCTAAATATCCCCCGCAATGAACAAATATGAAAATGCAACTTTCTAGCAATTATATATTGGCTTCAACAAAGCAGACCAGGTATCCCAGTTTCCCAGGTATTCATTTGCAGGTAACATCTATATGCCTCCTGCTCAAAGGTTGAAAGTGTCTTTAGGTCCTCATTTCGCTGCATTATAGGAAGGGACTGTTTATTCTTCCAGTGTTGTAACATCAGCCTTTTACCTGCCGAGATGATGTGGGCAGATCTGACATGCTTCTTAGGGGAGGTGGTGTGGCTACCCTTGGTGGGACACGATCTGCTCTCTGTTCAATGGGGCCTCAGAATTATCTCCGGCTCGTGACCATATCACATACATTGCACTTCAGAATGAAGCACGCACAGCCTTGCTTATTTTATATGTTATTATATAGACATTTATATAGATATTTGTCCAATTCAGCCCCCAGCTGGAAGAAAAACTAATCCACTAGTTCCCCTCTTTCCCACTGTAAGAGACACTAGATAAACTGAGCTTCCAGTTTTCAATTATGATTATTGCTATTGTTGTTACTACTGCTGCTGCTGCTGCTACTACTATTATTATTACTACTACATGTGTATCCCACTTTTTCCTCTTGCAAAGAACTCTGATAGAGATTATTTGACCAAGGCTGGTTATTTATGGCAGAAGATTATCAGCTTACTTAGGAGATGGGGAAGGTCCCTCCAGGTGACAAGGAAAAGTATAGCATTCACACACCTGATTCTCCTCCCCTCCCACTCTTCAGCATTTGAATTTAGGGTTTCCAAAGCCTTCAAGATTAGACATCAAGCACGCGTGATATTGGATGCGGAGCTTTGGATTGCATTTGCAGTAAGGATTTGTTTGCCATTCTTAAAACAAAAACAAGAAGCAGAAGAAATTCTTCTACTCACAAATCTTTTATTGGGCACTCTAGAAATGTAATAAATGACTGAATGACAGTGAACATACACGGAAAACTTAATGTATGTAAAATAGGTCCCATGACCATAAAAAGGAACAATAATCAGTGATAAAACAACCATCCTAGCATTGCTTAGCTATTTACATATGTAGTTGTCTGGAAAACCAGTATCCTTATTAATGCCCAGATGAATAGGACCCAAATTTGTTATTTGTTCTTACAGAATCATAGAATAGTAACATAGAAACACAGAGCAAGTCAGAAGGGGTCTCCCGGGCCATCTAGTTTGACCCCCAGCTCCTGCCGGCTCCGCTCATGACATGCCCACCATGTGCATGTCTAGCCTATCCTTGAACACCCACATCAATGGGGCCTCAACCACTTCCCGTGGAAGCCCATTCCATACCTATTCCATATTCATAGGAGAGTTGGAAGGTGCCATGAGGGCCATTGGGTACAACCCTTTGCTGTTGCAGGACAAATTACACCATCCCATTCAGATGGTTGTCCAGTTTCTTTTTGAATGTCTTTAGTGTGGGAGAGCCCACCACCTCTCCAGGCAGCTGCTCTTCTGCTACTTCATGCTGGAGCCTCCTTTTGAAATTCCTCTGTAGAACAACAATAGCTTTCAAGTCCACCAGTAAGTGCCCAGGCAGACAGAGTCTTGGGACAACCTTCTCTGAAGGCTGGGTTTCTGCAGTGTCTCTGCATCAAGAGCGATGGATAGATGAAGCCTTGGATGGTGACACCATCCCAGCAGCAAAGCATCCAGAGATGTCATGGTCAGCCTCTTTGTGAATGACTGTTTGATGTTCACCTTGAACTAATTAATTTCTCATGACACAGGAACAGTTTTTCCATGACACAGTGCCCAGAATGCAATTTGGGAAGGACTCAGTGAGACCTACCAATCTGCTTACTCCCTGAGCAGCATTGAACTGCTTGGTTGAAAAAGATAATCATAACCACCTTGTTTTCTTTGTTAAAAACCATTCACAGCCATCATGTTTTAAAGGTGCGCTCTAAAGGCACAGTAATTTCAGAGCTCTTCCAGAGCTGTTCAGGTTCCACATTGTTGTTATGGACAATAGCTGTTTCACAAGCTCCTCTTGATTAAATTTGCCGAATGAAAAAGTCACATGTTGTTAATTTGGATAATCTGAATCATGTGCCATAACTGTAAACATTCCCTTGGACTTCCCAATATATACAATAGCCCATCAGCTTCAGAAAAATATACATATGTTTTTAAAAGTTTGGCGTTTTGGTTTATGTTGTCAGAGTTTTGACTTCGACTGTTCCGTGCATGAGCTTTAGGACATCATGAGTATGAACTTTTGGATGACTGCTTCTTTTTCTGGTGGCAGATCTGTGTATGTTGTGCTTGGAAGTGGTGTGTCTGTTAGACTAAGTCTTTGTTCAAGAAATAGAAACTGGGGATTTTCATTGCTTGTCTGACAACCTGAGGCAGGTGGGAATAGACAGAGCTTGCTTATAATACAGTTCAGAGGTAGTGGATGGGACAAAAGGCAAAAGTGTCCTTTTGTGACAAAAGGTAACAGCACATTTTATCTTAAGCCAGGAGATCGCCAAAAGATAGGCAAAGGGGAAACGGGCATGGCCTTCTGGGGACTCTAAAAGACTTGACTGAGACACTTGGAGGGATGGATTTCTCTTCTGGATCTGAGGTTCTGCACCCCTACTATAATATAAAGAACATGGGATTTAAGATACTGCTAAATATAGATTGCAATATCTTTTTTGTTTTGGTTTTTTTTGTTTGCCCTCCTCCTTCAAATCATGTCTGTCTGCCAAAATATCAGGCCCTGTGACAGGTTTGGCACATCTAAGGTCTGGGGTCATGTACCTGCCAACCACCAAAAGCAGGTTTAAACTTACACTCTTCCCTCATGAGTAAAATTGGCCATATAACCCCTCTTGGCTTGGAACTGAGCAGAGCAAGAAGAAAACTGCATTGTGGGGAGTACAATAGCCAATGAATTCATGTGCTTTGTTTTACAGGAGGAATGGGGAACCATTTTGGACCCAATGGCTGAATCAACCCAAGTTGAGATATTGGGGTCACATGCCAAGTTTGAGAATGAGACTTATCTAATGTGGGGGGGGGGGTGTTCTGTGCCTACTCCAGATGGGGCCACAGCCAAAATACACCTCTTCCATTTCCATGCACAGGCACACAACCCATTCACACACTTTAGTAGACTATGGTTAATGTTATTTATGAGTACCCTGACTTATTTTAGGATTCTCCTTGGAGATATCTGTACCACACACTAAAATCTTCTACAGCCCATTTTCTTTCTACTAGGGGTCATAGCTTGACCTGGCATAGGGAGAAGTCTAGAGACCACCAATAGTAGCCACACTTATTTGTGTTGGGGTTCTAGACCATATGCCTAATTACACAGCTAGCAGTGCATTAAATTGGACCATTTCCTGGTCCTGTACGTGAAAAGCAGGTTAATGGAATCCGTAAGTACTTTAAACAAACTTTACAGTGCTTTGTTTGTGAAACTTAAAGGAAAACTTCTTGGTGTCCTGTTCCATTTCCTACTTTTAATATTAAGTTTTCCAGTTGGAACAACTAATAAAACCAAATTAACAAAAGCTGTGCCATTACCAAAAAAAAAAAAAAAAGTTATAGAAGAGAATCAGCTTAAAAAAAAATATCCAGCTGCCACTGAAACCTGGAGCAATTTATTAGTGGAAAAATTCATTTGGAA